GCTTGTGTCTGATGTTATGTCACTGAATGTCACCTTCTCCTCTCAGGTTACATGTGGCTGTTACTGAGGCCAGTGAAGCCGATCAAATAAGGATATACGTACATCCTTATACCTGGTGCAGGCATAGTGTTATTTTCCCTTATGCTGCCTTTACGACCATGTGAAGCACAGACCTGAGCAAAGGGAGTACTGACTTTCAGCCTGGGATCGTGGTCCGTCTGAACAGCCAACAGTTTATTGCAGAGGAAAACACAGAGCTGGCAGTGTCCATTCAACTCTGCATGCATGCACGTGCACCCACCCACACAAAAACACACACATACACAGCCAGTTTGGGTTGTGGCAAGTGCAATGTAAATACCTATTTTTCAAAGATGTGTGTGGGTTAGATGAAATGCTGCTGGGGAATTAATTAAAGAGTCATTTCTGCAGTGGAATAACCGTGCACTTTCATTTCTCTGGTTTAGGAAATATACACTCTGAAATGCAGAGACATTTTATTTTTCATATCACAAGTCTAGTATCTATTTTTCTCTGTCCCCTAGCATAGCATCTGTCTAAAAAAATAATCTGTTCTGAATAAGAATCTTTGATTTTTAATCTCTGTAAGGAACTCTAGAGTGGAGAACAGGAAACAAGATAATATGTTTGTATGTGTGTATATAGGTGTTAACTATGTAAATACAACTGTTGGGGAAAGTTTTAAATTTAAACAAGGCATTTAAATAAAGTATGTACTCAATCATATTCACAATATGTCTTTTGAATTAAGAAGGCAATTACTCAAGTGAAGTAAAGCAGTGACAGTATGGGTAAAATGCACACATGCTGGATAAAAATGCAGCTGTGTTCCTAAAGTGTGTGCTGCGTGCTGTGGGATTTTGTGCACACAAAGCTGAGTCTTTGACTGGAAGCAGAAGAGGATCTTGGTTGCAGGCAACAGGATCTGACATCGACTTATTTCCTGTCATTGACTGTGGGTCACATGGTGAATGGGTGCGTGGGTGCAAGATAGTGGAATGCGTTAAAGGGGTGAGGCTCTTGTGACCAGATGCACAGTCACAGGAACACTTAAGATTGTATTCATATCACTGTGAGGACATTTATTGACATAATACATACCCTAACCTTAGCTGTCACAGCTAAATGCCTAACCCCAACCCTTAACCTAAACCTAGTTCTCACAAAAATAGCTATACAACAGACACACTGTGCAGTGTGTGTCCAGCATTCTGTTTCCCACTGTTATAAATCTTTCTGTGTGAATGAAACTTTGTCATCCAATCAAATCACTCACAGGGCATGTTGACATCCCCGCCCCTGTTCTTTGCTCCCTCACTGTTCAGCTAAATCTCACTCTCTCTCTGTCTCTTATTTTCTCACAGTTATAGGCTACTGTTTCTACATACCAAGCCAAAAAACATTTCAAGTTAAAAGGCATGGCATCCTCTTATCAGCAACCTCAAAGGCACAACTGCATGGTTCCGCTTCTCATATTGGTTGCACAGTAACTGATTGATTGTGAGAGTCTGAGTGCTGCCCTGCAAATTATTCCTTAATACAATTTGAATTGGAGTTATATATAGGTAAGTATTTGTGATACTGTGCATTCATTCATCCTGCACTTCAACCCCACTGGCCATTCAACACAGCTACAGTTGCCATTTTAACCTAATTTAAGTGCAGTGAGAAAAGGATATATATGGAAGCCCAAAGTACATCACAGTAAGCCACTTATACACTATGTGGCCCAACTGCAACGACTGCATCAGACACACACATGCACATGCACGCACGTGTGCCAATAGTATGGCCTTGATGTGGTCTGGTGTGTGTGTGTGTCTGCTCTGAGTGTCTGCAGCTGTAGGCCAAGGCTGCTCAAGGAGAGGGAATTAAAGGAAAGAGAAAGATGAAAAAGAAGAAGAAGAAGAAGAAGATACTGAGTGTAAGAAATGACATATATAGGGGCTGGGGAGGAGACCTATCAAAAAGAAGTAGAGCAAAGGTGACGTGAATCGAAGTGAAGGGGAGTTTGATGGGTGTAATTCATCAAGCTAAATTTCACTAAGATGATGTAGTACTACAAGAATAAGAAGGGCAAAATAATATGGCATGAGAATGAGGCAGAAGAGCAGAAGAGTCTAGAGGGGTAGAGTTGTGGTGAAATGTGGCAACAGACACAGACACCGGGTGGAAGCCTGAAAATGGATGGAAAATGTGACATGTTTTAGCACAGCAAGAGGGCCCCCATTTGAGGTTATGGATGTATGTGTGGGTGTGTCATTTAGCTGCTGTCTCCTGGTTTTGGAAGGGCAGTTCAAAAAGGCCGTACCATACTATACACCATATGTACACCAGACCAGATCTATAAAATCCATTTGATTTAAGTAGCCCCCACTGATTGTTTCACTCATAATTATGTAAGAGGAAGAGCATGGGCAGGGACAGGGTTCATAGATAGCAAAATTTCACAAACACAAACCTATCACTGAGCATACACAAGAAGCATTATGTGATAAATCAACATCCACTGTACTGCCAAGAAAGTTTGAGAATTAGATATAGTCTGTTATGACATTATTTTGACCTTAGTTCAAAGGCAGGTCTACATTTCTGACTTGTCACTCACCAGGCAGAATGTATCAAGTCAAAAGGTCATAGTGCAAGCCAAAACATCCTAACCCAGCCATGGGGCAAGCTCCATTTGTTTCTCAATATCCCCCAGTTTTATGACAAGATATTGTTCCGTTTTGAATGAAAATACACAAAATCTCACATGGTGTGCTGTAATGCTTTGGTCAGTGCCCTTAAATATAATGACACAATTTAAGGGCATGATATAAAATTCTAATCAGGAATTTCAGTCATCAAATAGTGTCATTATTATACTGTTATATCATATTGTTGCTGTCCTGCAAAAACTATGTATCGCCAAAATGTAACTTTTCATTAGCCAAAGCAGTTTGTAACTTCAGTAACCACCAAAACGTGCATAGCCACAGAATGCATTAAAGGGGTGGCTGCCAATCTGGGGGTCTGAACTTCAAGATAAATCTAAGGGATACAGGAGCTCATAAAAAAAGATGTGGAGCAAATAAATAAAAATGTGTCTCCTACTCAAATGCTTATTATTGCTTTTGTTTTGTTGTGTTTTTTATTCTCTCTAGTTTTTAATCTCTTTAATTGTGAAAGATTATAAGTCTGTTCATATAAAAATACTCTAAACACAGGAACATCACTTACACGAAGCTCATAGACATTTACAACCTGTGGCAAGCAATTGTAAATACACATTGCTTCAGTTTAAAGGGTCCAAAGCCAACCACTTCCAATAGAGCCATGTAAAGCCAAACAAGTTGTTGGTCATTATGTACAAGATGAAACCTGAAGCCTGTGAAACTTGCAGTACTACTCAGTTTATAATGCCACTGATAGACTTTGCTCAGTAGATGATGCACTGGCCCCATCTAAAGGTGAAGAGGAAATTTACAGGTTCTGTGGAGAAAGCTGCCTTCATCAACTGAGGAAGGAGCAAAAGAATAATGCAAGAGGTTTGTTTTTTCAATTTTCTAATAGTAGAATGGCATTACACATAATTTTTGTGAATACTGTTTAACTGGGATAGTTTTTACTGTATTATTTTTCTAATCTCGGATACATTTGTTAAATGTGAACCCAAATTTGTTTCCCAAGAACAGGAATAAATGACCGATTCCATGTCAGTTTGTCTACATCATCTCTATTCTGAGCAACAAATACTGTATTGATGTGAAAATCTCAGTTACAGCCATTAATAACTGTCCTTAGTTGTTCAGTAAATGGGCATCTTATGATGGTGTGTTTGGCAGCAGAGAAAATAATCAGTTTCTTTAATAGTGCCATCCCCAAACTAAACACTCATTTACACAGCTTACAATGACCTAATTCATTCACTCTGCAGTGCCGTCCTATATTTCACCACATCCTTTCACAGGGTGACCATTTAGAAAAAAACTAAAACAAAAACCTAACATCCCACTGTGGGGATGTGGTGAATGTATAAGTGTATAACATGTGACTAGTCTGTTGTTTTATGTATAGCATTTAAAGACAAACTCAGTATACAGTAGATTCTCTGAAAATTCAGCATATTGTATATTGTCAGTATTAAATACAAGAAGAAATTAATTGAAAAATGATTATTATCATGTCATGGACTGGTGAACTTTGTGGTGTTTACAGCAGAAACAAGCTAAGCCCACATTTTTTAAAAGGAAAGAAAATTGAAAAATCTTCTCTGCAAACATTTCCCTGAGAGTTAAACACACACTGGTTGTGGCACAAACTGGTCTTTGTTGGAGTGTTTGGAGGACATACAAACTAATTGTGAAACAAGATTTTTCTGTCTTAGAACAAATTCCTTTCTGCCATGTCTCCCTGAGGGCTGAAAACAGTATGAAAATGTTGCTGACATATATCCCTCTGATCTTGTGTCTGTTGCTGAAAGGTCAGTGATACATGTGTCAGTGTCACAATAACATTCCTCTTCCTGGTATCAGTCTCTTTGTCTTTTTGTCCTCCTATTTATTGCCCATAAAATCATTACAGAACAGCCAATTGCTAACCTTTTTGCCCACTGAACACTCTGTAACGTAACCAAACTGTGTGGTATTAGCACTTAAAAGTTCTCTGTCTGTCTATATGTACTTTGTTTCATAGCCTGAGGGACTGAAGCAGCAGACAGCTGATGGATTATAATGTAAAGCTACAGCCCCCTTTCTGCTCTCAACTATCTTTTTACAGTTTATGTCCCAGATTCTTTCTGACAGACCGAAACCTTCAGCCTTGGGGTAGCTCTCTCTCTTGCCCATTCTTTGAGTGTGTGTATTTGTGTGAGGACCATACTGTGCTGTCTCTCTGCCAGGTGGACTTCTTCTTCCTCCTGGTGTCACATGGGAGGGGCCTGGAGGCACATAGGCTAAAGCTAGCTCCTCTCATTTCCCTGGCAAATGTTGTCACCACAGCCAGTCACATTTCTCTCCTCCTCTTCCACTCCTCTTCTCCTTCCTGCATCCCTCACTCCCTGCCAGTCTGTCAGAAATCCCACTTATCCCTAGAGGATAAGATGCCATGGAGGCCACAAGAAGAACAGTGCTCTATGTCTGCTCGGTTCTGTTCATCCTAACAGGTGAGCCTTGTGTGTTAAGATGTTGTGGTGGGTTGCTATGCTTGACTTGTCAGTGTGTTGTGTTGGTGTAGCTATAGCTATTACTATGGTTGCTGTGTTTGCCTGGTTGGCAGGGCAAAACTGAGAAATGAGAAGAGGAAGTTTTTTTTTATGGTGCTCAATAACAAAATGTTCAGTGAGACCTTGTGAAATCCTTTGTGTTTAAAGGGTTCAGATCAGAGAAGCAGTAATCACACTGGGCTGCAAAGTTTAAAAACTAAAATGGATCTTTTGGTACAAAATGTTAATTCACATACAATCACTTGTCTTGTATTTTAAAATTAAATACTTTGGACAAAAGTATTTAGGCAACAAATTCTTTACATTGAAGTACCTCAACCTTTCCACAGCATTTTTCAATATTGGTTTCGGTCTTTAAAGTGTTCCTTCCAGTCTGTCTTAGTTTGTTTTGCATGTTCTTTCCATAGTCATCACTGTGTGACTTTACAGAATTAGACTTTCTACTATTGTTGGCTGTATGTAAAGATATAAGGGTCCATGGAAAGAAGAAGTGGACGAGGGCAAAGTTGAGTGAGTCAGTGGGACATATATCAGCATCTCTCACATGACCAGAAAAAAAATAAAAAAGAATAAAAATAAAAACTAAAATCCACCACCAAGGACTCTCCCCTACCTTAAGGTTTGTATCATCAGCCTTCCTTAAGGGGCATTATTTGTCTTATCTGAAAAAAGATGGAAAATGGTGGTGTTCAGGTACGCACCAGGTGACTTTGTTTAGTATACAAACAACCTAGATGTGCGTGAGGTTGATAAGAGGTAGGTGCATGTGGGTCTCCACACCTAGTTGTTTGAATGTATGTGTGCATGACCCACACATTTTTCACTAATGTGAAGATATCCTCTCATCTTAAAGTCCATTGTCATTGTAGTCTCTGTATCACCACAAAAAATATTTGTGATTTGGGGACAACAGTGAAGAAGTGGGCTCTGCACACTCCTCCTCAATCTGCCTTTTCACTAGATCTCAGCTGGTGTAAACACTGGCACACGCCTGCTACTGATACACACACACACACACACACAAAGAGAGAGAAGTGGAGAGAGAAACTGACCTGCAGGCCTGTAGAGGTAACATGTCATGGGGGTGTGTGTGATTCATGGATTATTTGGGACATAACACCAAATGCCCAGATTATCTACGCAGTGAGAAGCATGTTCAGCAGACACCAGGAACCCGGCTGACAACAGCTGGATGAGAAGGAGAAAGTATGAGTTGACGGCGAAAATGATGGTGAGGCAAATGCGTGAAGGGAAAATATGGCTTTAGAGAGAGAAAGAGAGAAAATTAACTGTTTAACTCAGCCTGCCAAACCACAGTCCACTAATTCACCTCACATTTCAAATTCAAACTGTCAAAATCAGCAAAATATTAAAATTATGCCAAATTATGCCAAATTATGCCAAATGATGCCAGGTCATAGCTCAAAGCTATTTATTCTCCTTAAAATCAGTAAAAGTATTAGATTCAAATGACAGTATCTGCTGAAAAACAACCATTACTCCTCCGTCCATTGCCTTTTTATTACCAATTTTGTTTTCAGCCAATTATCAGTGAATAGACCACCCTGGCAACCAGTGACAGCTTAAACAGATGTCAAGCAGCAATAGATCAGCAGTTATCTAGTTACTTCAGACAGCCCAAAGTGTTTGTTTTGCAGGATCAAAAAAACTGGTCTTGTCCTTGTCCTGCAGCAACAACACTCTGGAGAAAGCTGGGTCAATATTAACTGACTACAGTTTCAGGACCTAGACTATTAGAAGACTAGGATATACTAGATTAGACAGTCAAAACAGAACTCAGACCATCTTTTAAATGAAAATAGTCATAATTTGCTTTCATATAGTCACTCTCACCCCATTTAATTAACATAACAATATGAATAACAATGTTTTTCTAATACCAACACTGTAATTCATGATAAAACATATATAAAACAAAAATGAGCTTTATTTTGTACCAAACATACAAAGGTTTTATTACAATAATGCATGTTGGTAAATAAAAATTAACTCTCACCACTATCATCTGCATCATCCACAGATACAGTGTGAAATAAAAGCTATAAAAACTGGATTTACCTGTTCAGCACCAAACAGCAGGCATACAGTGTTAGCACCTAGCTTTTGAACATAGTAAATATTGGTTGTACTTATGTCACGTGGCCTGAAACATGATTACAAATGAATGCTAATGTTGGTTTGTACCTGCTAAATGTGTAAATGCTCAGCTGTTAGCCATATCAATTTTATAGGGTGATAGATAATATGTCAGTTTGCAGCTTGTTGCAGTGCTCTCAAGTGGCCAAAAACCAATTATTAATTAACATTTTAGGCAGTTTACTTAAATGAGCCAAGCTCAAGTGAGATTAATAGCAATATAAACAGATCAATATAAACAGGTACATTAATCATAAACATACATTCTACTCCTGAAACTGTGCTGTACACTTGGTACTGGAGCAATCCTTGGCACCCACATATTCTAGTGACCTTTCATGGTGATTCTAAAATCATATGGCAACTTATACAGAGGCTAAAATGCAGATTATCTGGCTACAAGGATCAGTACACAAAGTATACTTACACTGTGTTCTAAGCAAGTGTCTTAGATATCTCACATATTCTTGGTGTATGACCAGGATATATTTTCCTAAAATGATCTAATGAATCTAAAGTATTTATAGAAGTTTTCAATTTTTTTCTGAAACAAACTTGAAAACAATAATGTATTGTATAACGTCTGATGTCTTCCATGTGCGAGACAGTACAACAAGTACTGCAATTGTGTAGTACCTCTCTTTCTTCCCTTGCATCTTACATCTTTCTCCCATCATCTCCTCTAATATAGAGGTGAACTCTGAGTTCATCCACATCCCTACATTAGTCCATCATGGCATTGAAGGGAAGCCTCTGCAGCTATCTGTGGAGACTCGCTTTCCACTGGACAAAGCTGAGATCCAAGGAACCTGGTCCCACACCAGGCCCAGCGGCACCAGGACCACACTGGTGACATTTACCAAAGAAGCTTCGATTCTTGACATGATGTATCGCAACCACTTGCTCTTCAAAGAACCAAATCCTTCTTTACTAATCCTGGATTTGAACCAAAAGGATGAGGGGGATTATCACCTGAGCCTCAACATAGAGTTTCATAACAAACCAGGACTGGTTATCAAGGAGGAGAGAACTGTGCATGTAATGGTGGATGGTGAGTGTGTTCCTATGATGCATCATGATGACCTGTTTGACATCAGTTGGACACAACTCTAAATTTACAAACTGAAAAAGCCTTAGAAAAAATCAACTGGACTTAGATTTCTAGATCGAGTTGATTTTTTCCAAGTTTTTTTCAGTTTACTATGACCTGGATGACTGAGAATCTGCACAGACATCTAAATTTACAAGTTATTTTTGTTTTTTCCTCAGTCCCTGTTTCCACTCCAGTCATTGAAAAGAACCCATCCTATGCAGTTGTTGAGGACGAAGCGAACGTAACTTGGACTTGCTCTGTTGAAAGAGGAACAAGAGTTGTGCTCCAGTGGTTCAGGGACAATGTAGTACTGGGTCCTGGTGGCAGATATCGCTTCTCCCAAGACAACTCTACACTGTTTATCAGTCCTGTGAGGAAAGAGGACAAGGGAACTTATTGCTGTCTGGCCAGTAACCCTGTCAGCCAAGGTCAATGCAGCAGGGCCCTGGAACTCAATGTGTACTGTGAGTAGATACTGTGCATCTTTTTTACTTTGCCTTATTCTACTCTGTATTGAGGCCAGTTGACATTTCAAGTCTAGTTCACATTTAGGTCCCAGAGAACTGTAGTGTGGCTCATGTCCTGTGAGAGTATACTCTTCAGACACATTCTATACTTTATAACAAAAGGAGATGGGCATTGATATCTCATATACCGCAGCTACTTTCATGTGAAAGTACCCTGTGAATTCCAGATATGATCAATCAGAGAAAAAGAAGTCCATAATGCCCCAGCTATAATTGAAGGGATCAATTTTTTACCTCCCTGGATGAAGAGGCAAAATCATGTGAATTTCATGTTAGTACTTGTAATTAGGCAGATTAAACGAACCAAACAGAGATAACATAATGTCAGCGCTGCAGACAAACAAAGCTGGTCATAGATGTTTTTGCTTTTACAGCAATCTTTTTTTAATCTGATACCCCCTGGGATCAGATCTACGATGATCATAAGGTTAAAACAGCCTGTGAAGTTCGGTTCCAACTAGTTTTTAAAAATGTCCTCAAAAACATTCGGCTGTAGGATGTATTCTTTAATCTAGTTCACCACAAACCTTTTCCCCTTCCTGGTAGTACTGTACTAGGTCATATGCAAATTTCTGTGAGATTCAGTTTATTTGCTGAAAACATGTAGCTGTTACTGGATGATATTTGCATGGGAGCACACATCTCTCACAGAGCTCTTCTGTTCTAGCCTAAATGGTGTAGATACACTGATAAACTCCTGGATCTGTGAGTTTGATGTTAAACTGTCTACACATAAGCTTTCCATGGATGGGACAAAAAAAAGTGAAGTACACTTATTCATGGGAGATGTCTGTAATTTTCTTGTCATCCGCCACCCCACCCCCCTACGCTTTAGCCAGTGTCTTAGGCGTATTGTAACTTGTCACTGAAAACTGCACCAATAGTGTAGCACTGTCATCATTTCTGTTTACATAGACAAAGCATGTTTGTGTAGCATTCTAGCATCCTGCAGTGAGCAAGGATCTGTGACTAACAGTTAAACAATCTCCTTCAGTTTAACCATGTCCAGTTCTTATTCTACCCAGATTCTTTATTAACATTACTGTGCGACTGACTAGTCTATTTTCTAAACATCATATACTAGACATATTAAAACTGAGTTATGCCACTCAAAGGACAATGTTCAGATTCATTTTAGATGGAAAACTTTTCACATGAGCTGCAATGTTTGAGCTGCTCATGTAGGAAGCTTTAGGCCGCTGCTGGCCCATCATGGTTTAAAATGAAACAAATATAGGAAGTAACCTTTCTGTTCAATAAAGCACAATCTCAGCGGCAAACTGTCTTGTTTCCCTGACCCACTGTTTGTCCCTGCAGATGGCCCCTACAACCTGGAGGTGAACTCTGGCCAGGGCCTGCGGACAGGGGAGGTTTTCACCATCAACCCTGGAGAGTTGGTTTTCTTTGAATGCCAGGCTGACTCCAACCCACCAAACAGCTATGTCTGGATCTCCAAGAGCCGCAATTCAACCCAAATAATCACAGAGGGTCCACGACTGGAGGTTCTCTCATACAAACTGGCCCAAGCTGAAGAGTACATGTGCCGCGCCTTTAACAATGTGACACAGAAACAGGACGAAGCCCAATTTACTCTGGTGGTGGCCAGCTTAGGAACAGGTGCGTAGAGGGTGGCAGGAAGGGGCAGAGCGTGGGTAGGGTTTGGGAATCCTCTGAGATAACTACTCTGTAAACAGTGCGTCATGCCAAAAGCAGAAGATGTTGATGAGAGATATACAGTAGCCTGACATTGACGGTTTTGGGTAAACTAAAGCTAAAGCAGTGTGTGCATGGGAGGTGAGTCATGAAACCAGGTTACAGATATACAGTAACATAAAATATACATGGCTAGTATGAAACTCAAGCTTTATCTCTGTTGCTAGGTTCCAGCACCTGCAGCCTGTATTAATGTTCAGTGGCTGGGAAAGTAAACAGAGGATAACAGCTGTTGTACTTGTTGACTAAGTTTTATAGCATGTGGAGTTTCTGTGTGCTGAAACTGACATTGATATGTCGTCTTGGTGATAATGACACAGGCCAATACTGGCTATGATTTAAAATGCTGTTTATTGAAACAACATAAGTCACAACAGCATTTCTTTGAAATTCCACAACATCAAAATCTCTTATAAGCCTTATGAAAAAAAAAATCATTTCATGATTGACCTTTAAGTAAAATTTGAGTCTACAGCCATAATAGCTGCCTTGTGAGGCTGCAGCTAACTGCTAACATGAGCCAGGTAACATGCTTTCAGTGACAGTGCCAAACACTGATGTTTAGCAGTTAATGGTTACAGCTTCTTCATTTTAGTTTATTCTGTTAACATGCTAACATTTGCTAATTAGCACTAAACACAATATAGCTACAACTGAGTTTTATAATAATGCTTCTGGTTTTGGAAGTTTTGAGTCATAAACCGGAATACTGAACAAACTGAAATTTGACTTGATGATGGTGATAGGTGAAGCACCACCAAAGTTTCTACAAACTGTCCTTACAAGGACCTTGGACATCTGTCACATGGCTAAACTGAGTGTTAATATGGTATCAGTG